CCCATTTGTTTTCAAGCAAGGTTTTACCACCTCGTTTGTCGTGACGTGTGCCAGCGCCAATTGTCTCTGTTTATTGTGAACTTCATTAATTTGATTTGTTGTGTTTTGTCGCTATTGTACGTTTGTTAGTTTTGCACCATGTTCTTTTTCTTGTCATTTTCCCCGTAAAGTTTATGAGGAAACATCATATAACTTTATAAAATTGGGGGAAATTCTGTCCATTAAATTAAGTAAGGGGTAACTTCTAATAAATCTCCACTACCTTTTCAAACTTCTTTTTCAGTCCTAAACAAAATAACTTCTACTTCACTTCCTAGCTCCTACCTCTATGTTATTCATTCAATTAACTTCATCTCTTTAAAATAAATAAAAAATAAATTAAGTTATGACATCACCCCACTTAACTTCTATTATACATACTAGTACTTACCTCGTGCGATATACGTGACAGATATATAAATGAATTATTTTCACAGTCTCTGTCTGTTTAAGTCTAAAAAGCAATGGTTATAATCTATTTTTCATCTCTTTTAATCAACATTAAGTCGAAAAAATAATAAGATTATAATATATTTTTCATTTTTAATCAACATTGTTTTTTTGTCAGAACATTAAGGGCTCGTTTACTTTGGAGGACGGGATGGGATAAGGAAAGTAATCCCCCAACGTCAGTCGTTTACATTGATGAATTGGGATAGGACTGATCTGATGTGGCATCCATGTGGTCGTCTGACACGAAATTTCATCATTAATTTTCTGATTATTTTTGTCCCGCCTTCTACCCCGGATTTTTTTGTCCCATACTATTTATGACATTTTTACCCTCAAAAGTGAGTGAAAATACATTAAACCCCCTACACATCCAATTATTTACAATTATATACCATTTAAATACTACAACCCTTTAGATATTGTTGGCGTGCTCATCGTTGAATCCGTCCCCAAAGTAAGGTCAAATTTCATTCTTATGTGTTTGTTTTATCGCAAAGGCCAGAGTTCAATGATTGGTAATTTGTCTGCGTGTTTTTTCACCGTATTGTCGGGTTTTCCTTCTCCTTTGTGATTTGCCCTATTTTTAAGAATTCGGGGATATGATGTTTCGATTTCTCCATTATCTGGAGAAATCGGGGATATGGTAATTTGTCTACTTTTACGAATTCGGGGATATGGTAATTTATCTATGTGTTTTTACAATTCGTTTTCCTTCTCCTTTGTTTCGATTCACCTTATTTTATGATTGGTAATTTGTTGCTTGCTTTTTTTTTTTCTTATTTGTTTGTAAAATAAGCCATTGAAAAGCCCTAATTTGTAGAATAATTTTTTTGTTTCGGATGTACTAGGGAAAAAGTACCTCACAGCCGATTGTTTTCCGTTGAGAAGAAGAGGGGCAAAACAAATCGTACGGGAAGGGTATACAAGCATTTTGTGTGGTTCATTGCTGATTTAATCAATCAAAGTAAATGTGGGATACTTTTCCGCCAATCCCGTCCTGTAAAGTAAACATTAGACTAAATGATGACGTGGAAAGTTAGCCTGATTATTTACTCTTATCCCATCCTCCGAAGTAAACGAGCCCTAAATATAAGCATTTTAGGGCTAGCTTGTACAATAATTAATATATTATCATACTAACACATTTATATTAATATAAAATTGATTTTAGTATATATATTTATTACTTGATATAAGAGAAAATAACAATTTTACTTATTCTTGTTCACTATATAATACTTAATATTATTATTTATTATGAACTTTGTTGTCATATAATATAATTATTATTTATAAAAGTTATAGAAGTTGTACGTCTTCTTTTTCTTTTTCTTTTTATTAGAACTTAAAATATGTTGTAATATTTATTTGACCAACATGAATCACGAAAAATTAATTTTGTAATTTATAGTAATGGATACCAATGAGATTATTGCAAATATTAACAAAAATTTTTAAGGAACAATATTTTTGTATCATATCTTATTTGATCTTATTTCAAAACTTGTATAGAGAAGCAATTAATGCATATATTTAAAAAGTTGCCAAAAAGGTATGCAATAAATGTTCCCAAAATGTTTTACTACTATTTTTAATAAAATGTAATTCTTTATATATATATATATATATATATACATATATATATATATATATATTATTTTATTATCACTCTCTCTTTCCACTACAATCTTTCTTAATTTTTTATTATTTTTTCTCTCTCTTTCCATATATTATTTATTATTTTCTTTTTATCATCTTTGCTATTATCTCCCCTACTACTATTTTTTCCTAATTTTTTATTAATTAATATTATTTTTTATATGAACTATCTAAATCAAAAATATCTATATTTTACTAATCTTTCTTTCATATAAATTTATATTATACTAAATCTATAAATCTATATTTTTGTCGTTCAAATATATCAATTAATTCTCTAAATTTTAAATTTTAACTTTTATTAAAAAATATTTATACAAAGATCTATCTAACTTTCAAGAACATTATATATCAACTAGTGCGATGCCCGTGTACTACACGGGTACGCAAATATATTAATATTTGTACAATAGAA